ACATACAGTGTTTAGAGCAAAGGACAACTCTGTTACAGTGGAATGGTGTTCCTGGTTGTGCTTCAGAATGGCTGGATGATAGAATTTGTGGCAGAGCTAGTGAGAGAAATCACAGACAGGGTTTCTGTTCCAAAATGCTAACAGTTTGATATTTGAGAAGAAGCTCCTCTGATCCCTGTCCAATATATATACCCCATCTCCAAGAAACAGTAAGGTGTCACAGCTTGAATTGCATTGTTTCTATGCCATACAGTACATGTTCTCTAGACAGCCAGAAACCCTCCCATTTTTTGATAAATGTTCCTCCAACACTCATTAATAGCTTTCATATTGTCATTATAGTGATCATTCACACACTCAGCCAGATCACAGAAAACTATCCAAGCACCTGGACACAAATCTCTGATGCGATCCAGATTTCTCCTCATACATTGTATAAGGTGAGCATGAAGAATAAGGCCCCAATCATTTCCACCCAAGTGTATCATCCCAAAGTGCAGTAAATTAAACCCTCTTCAGTCACTGTGCAAAGTGGGCGAAAGATGATGTCAACATTGGCCACCTCTCTCCACCCAAATCAGTCTGTAGTCAGCAATCCTCATGTTATGGGGTACTCCTTGCCCTCCCAGTATCCTGCCTTCTGACAGTTGCCAGTGTCAGATGCTCCAGAGGAAATTAACAGAACAGGGCAATTTTGAGTGATCCAGCCCCTGTTTTCAGTCTCAGTTTCTGGCAGTTGGAGATTTAGGAACACATGAAGCATGGGGTTGCATCCTTGACCATCTGAGCTAATAGCTTTGATGGACCTATCCTCCATGAACTTATCTAATTCACATAGTCTCTCCTCCTTCACCTAGAGTTTCCTTGCAAAACTCCCCTATTTGCTGCTCCTGTTAGCTAGCTCCTTCTTGTCTTTATCTTTAATAAAAGGTCACTAGGGTTTTCTATGTTGTGTTTTACATGGTACTAAGCAGGCTGAAGTCTCCTGTATACCAAACCCCAAACCTTTTTGAACACTGTTTAATGTTGAACCATGATTGGGTTCTGTTAATACCCTTATCCCATATATTCCATCTAAATTAATACAACAACCCCCAAAGATTTAGTGCCATGCACTACCTTGAGTAAAACTCAACAAACTGAGACCATTTTGAACCATATCACATCAATAATTTGATCTCTAGCTCTGCACAAAACAAGCAAGCAAGCAAGCAAACAAACAAACGAATAAAATCCACCACCTAGAAACTTTTTGAAAATTAGCTATTTTTTCAGGGCTCCACACCCCTACCCTGCACCCTCCTGAGGCACACTGAACCTCAAAGGAATCCAGCGAAGCATGTATCAAGTGGAGTGCCCCCAGGGTCAGTCCTGGGGCTGGTTTTGTTCAACATCTTTATTAATGATCTGGACAATGGGATAGATTGCACCCTCAGCAACTTTGAAGATGACACTAAGCTCGGGAGAGAGGTAGATATGGTGGAGGGTAGGGATAGGGTCCAGAGTGACCTAGACAAATTGGAGGATTGGGCCAAAAGAAATCTGATGAGGTTCAACAAGGACAAGTGCAGAGTCCTGCACTTAGGAAGGAAGAATCCCATGCACCGCTACAGGCTGGGGACCGACTGGCTAAGAAGTAGTTTTGCAGAAAAGAACCTGGGGATTACAGTGGACAAGAAGCTGGATGTGAGTCAGCAGTGTGCCCTTGTTGCCAAGAAGGCCAATGGCATATTGGGCTGTATTGGTAGGAGCATTGCCAACAGATCAAGGGAAGTGATTATTCTCCTCTATTCGGCACTGGTGAGGCCACACCTGGAGTATTGTGTCCAGTTTTGGTCCCCTCACTACAGAAGGGATGTGGACAAATTGGAGAGAGTCCAGCAGAGGGCAACGAAAATGATTAGGGAGCTGGGGCACATGACTTACGAGGAGAGACTGCGGGAACTGGGCTTGTTTAGTCTGCAGAAGAGAAGAATGAGCGGGGATTTGATAGCAGCTTTCACCTACTTGAAGGGGGGTTCCAAAGAGGATTGAGCTAGGCTGTTCTCAGTGGTGGCAGATGACAGAACAAGAAGTAGTGGTCTCAAGGTGCAGGGGGGGAAGTCTAGGTTAGATATTAGGAAACACTATTGGTGGTAACGCACTGGAATGGGTTACCTACAGAGGTGGTGGAATCTCCATCCTTAGAGGTTTTTAAGTCCCAGCTTGACAAAGTCCTGGCTGGGATGATTTAGTTGGTGTTGGTCCTGCTTTGAGCAGGGAATTGGACTAGATGACCTCCTGAGGTCTCTTCCAACCCTAATATTCTTTGATTCTATGTGAGCTGTAGGAGATCTTTAAACAGAAGTAATGACACAACCTTAACTATAGTGATGCTCCTGTGTTACTATAATAACAAAAATAGTCCCAGCCCCAAAGAGCTCCCGGCTGAAGTAAAGTGTTGGATGTGTGCAGGGTTTGTACATGGACAGGGTGCAGTGGCAGAGCTGTGGGGTACAGGGTAGAACGAGTCAGGGCGGTTGGAGTGCACTGGCAGATCTGTGGCTGCAGGGGGTTAGGATGCATTGGCAGAGCTGTGGGGTGCAAAATGTTCTGGTACCATTTGATATTGCGATGTGTTTGTGTAAGTACTCTGTGCTTAGCATGTCATAGGAATGTGTATTTTTGCAATATTAGCCCTGTCCTTGCCAAATTCTGTAAACTTGCAAGCAGGCAGAGCCTGACATTTGCTAACAGCCTCTTTTGCTAACTTTGCTTTATATCAGCAAAGCTTGCCCACTACTTTAGCTTAGGCCTCATACCAGGCCTCTACTACAAGGGCTTATATCTCAGGCTGTCTTCCTACCACAACTCTCTTGACATATTGTGGAGCAGTGGGCACTATCTAGAAGTTATCTGCTACATATCCCCACTGTTAGCTGGTGGTTTTTGCTTGTCTTTTTTAGGACATGTCTATACACAAAAGTTGTACTGCTTCAACTATACAGATACAGTTTAAGTAGTACAACCCCCTCTAGTCTGGATGCAGTTATCTTCATGTAAATGTGCTTCTTATACTGGTATTGATTGTTCCCACATAGGAAAGAGGGTGTGCTGTACTGGTATAGCTGCACACTTGGGGTAGTAGAAGTATAACTATTTCAGTAAAAAATTAACCTCCTAAGAGAAATAGTTACATTGACACAAAATCCTTGGGTAGATTAGATCTTAGTTAACTTGGGTTCCCTTTTGGTCCCTTCCCTCTCTTGATAGGGTAGCCACTGAAGTTCTTCTGTGTGGGTCCAGTTCAGATAAAATGATGCCTTATATGAAGCACTAAATGTACACACAGTTTTTTTTTTATGAAGTTTATGATTACATGCCAATTATTTTAAAATATGCAAATTAATTCCCCACATTTTCACACAATAACATGTAAGTATTTCTAATTCGCCCCCCCTTCCACCCTCAAACATTGCCAACACTATCTCTGCCCATTTCCTGGTCCTGCCCACCCAGTCCTCATCCACCTGCATGGGAGGGAGAGAAGCAACCTCATAGAGCAGTGGTTCCCAAACTTTAACATCCTGTGAACCCCTTTCATTAAAATGTCAAGTCTCGCGAACCCCCTCCTAAAAATGAATATTTCCAGGGATTTTTTTCCTTTACCTGAGTATAAATTATAAAAGCAGTGATCTTGGAAATATAAATTTTGTTTTTATGACATGCTTATTACACACTATTTATTATTAATTACTATTTATTATTACAGTATTTTTATTACATTATGAAAACGGCAACACTCTTCCAAGATCTTACTTTTGTAGCTTGTATCACTTCAAATAAGCCTGTTATAAGACAAGGCTCCTATGTTTCATCAAGGAGTATCAGATGTGAAACAGCATGAAGGTATTTAAGAAGCCAACTCAAAGAGTTCCTCCTACTCAAGCATTCAGGTCTTGAGCAGTCCAGGCAAACAACGCACCTTACAACAAAGCTTAAACTTGTTCTTCATAATAATTTTAAAAACAATACTAGCTGCCTATTTAATTTAAAAAACAGCAAAAGATGTCCACCTCCCTTTCCATTTCTTATACGGAGTCTTGAAGTTTAAATCTCCTCAGTGTGATAGATATGCTTGCTTTGAGCTGCTTAGCTCTTGGAAGTCCAGGGGCTCCGGGCTGCTGGCCTCATGCTGCCTGGGGTCCCTAGGGACAGCTGTCCGCCATTAGGGATTTTTTTTCCCGAGAACCCTCTGTAACATTTTGCGAATCCCCAGGGGTTCACAAACCCCAGTTTGGGATCCACTGTCATAGAGGCTGCTCTCACTGCTGTGCTGTGACCCACAATGTGAGTAGTCCACTTTAGGGAAGTGAGGGAGCACATTCCATCCCTTTACTTGCCTGCACTAGTGTATTTTTTGGCACAGTTCAACGATACTGGCACTCTAATCTGAGGAAAGGAATGTCTTGGTATTTCAGAACAGGATTCCTATGCATTGCATTGACAGTGCTGCATGGGAACTCTTACACAGCATCTACCTACAACTTTATTAAGTTCTATCAGTATCAGTTTTCACAATACCATTTACATCACACTGGTTATATTTAGAAAAAATTCTAAGCATGGTATACATATAATGTTATAATTTGTAGAAGTAAATATTGATTATAGGAACTATTTGAGAATATTTGTAAAAACATTTTACATTAAGAGAGAAAATGAGTGTTTTGAATTCTGAGTTTGGATGCACATATATTTCACTACATTTTCCAATTATTTTATTATAAATATTTGAATTTGATCTCTTTAACATGCATGTGTTAACAAATGATGAGTTGGTATCAAATAGTTAAACTGCATGAGACATACGTTGGATGAGACTAAATTCAAAAGATTGCATTTATTTTTAATAAACTTAAGTATGACATAAGATAAAACATAGCTGCATGCTTTAATACATATAGACAGACACATGACTTTACAAAGCTTACTTAAGAGGTCTTCTTATCTTCTTTCAGAGTCCCCAGAGGAATAAGATGACATATGGAAAGTGTTCTTTTAAGGTAATCGTATAAAGAAAACTAAACAGACAGAAATACATTAGTTGTTGACTGCAAGATCAAAAGTCCCCAGACGTGTTATGGTGAAAGCCAGCATGAGATCGAGTCTATACTAAAATGGGCTTGTGTTCCTGCTCATCAGTTCTCTCCATTTTGAACAAAATGTTGCATTTTCAGTATTAAAATATGTTAATCATGGAGTAGTAGAGTGATTATTGTTTTAAAAAGGGAATTAAAGTGATACTTCCAGGTTTAAAATAATATATTTTAAAATAATTATTTTTATATTTGTCACTAATAATTCCTGAGATTATAATTAATATCTAATTTATATCCTAATTACAATAGTTCTAACTAATATCTAATTAATATCTAATTTATATCCTAATTACAATAGTTCTAACTAAGTAAAGCTCCCAGTTACTTCAGTTGAAGACTAATGCTCTCACTTTTCACATTGATGACGTTTTCTTTTTTAACAATAAAGTAGACATTTTTTCACCAATTTTGTTTCTAGTCATTTTTCATTTTCTTCTTCTCATGTACAAGCACAATTCTGCTATGATGAAGTTTCAAATGCATCTAGGGTGTGAAGTGGCTGTTTAAATTTCAAAAAGAGACATTTTCATTAAAAATGAATAATAATGAAAACATTTTTAAGATTTGTAAAACCTTTTTTCCAGAAAATCTATGTTTGAAGCTTATTTACTTATTTCAGCACTTCCTGATTTACATCAGTTCTACTATTTTAATTTATAGTTACAGGTATTTAAGTATGCGATAAGTATGATATCACTCACTGGCCATGGTTTTTAAAAAATGAGCTAAAATTAGGCTCCTAAATCCATATTTAATCACCTTTATATGGGTGAGTGGCCTGTAAGTGATGTTTATATAGTGAGTGGTCTGATTTTCCAAAGTGTTGAGCGCACAGCAATTCTCAGCTATTTTACTGGGAAATGTATTGGGCCCTATATGGACAACATTTGTGCTATTATAGGTATTCATTCCACCTTCTGAATTCTACATAATGGCATTTATCATAAAATTAATCTGTTGCTTACATTCTGATGCATGGCCCTTCTTTTCTATACTGAACCTTAATGAGTAGAGCTGCAACTGTTTGTGTACCACCTGAGCACACAAGTTCAAATATTTCTGTACTTTCCTTGACATTCTCTGGATTCTCATACATTGCCAATTTCCTATGAAACTTGTTCTTGGTTTCTGACTGTTATATGCTATTCATGACAATATATTAAATTAACATAGTCCTTTGTTCTGTAATATACATGACATGGCTGTGGATTTTTTCCCAAATGAGATTGTTTTCCATAATTATTCATCAGGTCATTTTTAAGAAAAAATATTACTTTATGGATTGTCTGCAAATCCAGAGCTATGCTTTGTGATTGGCCACGTAAATCACATATTTTTTGTTTTGTTTTGATTCTTGATTGGATGTCCTAAGCCTTATAAACAGGAGCAGTGCCTGATCAAATTTTGGGGGCTTTGAATCTTTCAGGGAGGATAGAGAGCATTTAAAGGAAATAAAGTCAGCAGGCCTAGGGAATTTTAGGAGACTTTACATATTTTTCTATCCTCATTTGCAAAAGAAATAGCATTTTGTTTGTTTACATTCATTGAGCACAGATTTAGAAATAGTTTGGTTCCTTCCTGACACATTAAAGTCAATGGAAGCTTCTGGGTGCTCAGCATTTTCGAAAATCAGGCCATTTATTTAGCTGCCTAAATAGGGGTTTAGGGCTAGATTCACAAAGGGGACTTATTGCAACACCTAACTTTAGGTGCCTAGACATACAGTGGAATACACTACCCTGAATTAGGTGCCCAGGCTGCCTATACAATGAATGGGGAAAGTTAGGCCACTAAGAACAGGATCCCTAAAAGCCAGCATGCTGAGCAGGAAGCTACTATATTTTCTAGTCAATAACAGATACTGAGAAGAGGGCTGTGTCCTAAATCCCACCCGTTTCAGGGAGTTAGGTGCCTGTCTCCGCTTGGGATCCACATCCCGAAACCCTCTCCAATGTCAAATACCTATGCAGTTTCTTGCAAGAAGACCGTGGTGCATGCCTAACATGACACGAAACATCCAGGATATGGGGAAGGAGTCCTCCTTTATAACCTTTAGCCCAGTGTTGAGAGCACTCACCTAGGATTTATGAGCCCCTGATTCAGTTCCTCCCTCTGCCTGGTAAGGAGAAGGAATCTGAACTTGGGTTTTCTCCCTCCCTCTGATTGCCCTAACCACTGGACTATAGAGTCATTATCACACTCTGTGTGGCCCAATGCACATTTAATTATTTATATACAGTGGAACAACTTCAACTGGAGAGATTGAGAGCCAGCCATCCCCACCAGAATACTCCATAACCCACTCATTAGACCACTCACCTGAAAGGTAGGATACCTGTGCTCAAATCCCTTTTCCTTATCAGGTAGAGTGGGAAATTGAACCAGGGTCTCACACATTTTGGGAGAAGGCTAAAGGTCATAGAGAAGACAGCCTCCTCTTCTCCTCCTCCTCCCCTCTTCTGTTTGGGGCAGAGTTAGGTGTGCTCTGAGCATGCCGAACAGGATGGACCTCACAGGAAAGTTAGGCAGGGCAATGCCTGGTTTGAGACTCCTGCTAGGGCTTAAATGAGAGAGAGGCATGTGGGTGTTTCCTTGAGGCAGCAGTGCACATGCTCAGCAACATAAACTTAGGTGCCTATGAGACTTTAACTGTGAAAATGTAGGTGCTTTAGGTGCCTCCAGAGTTAGGTGGCAGCTGCATGAGGATTTTGTTAATTCTAGTGGTGCCTACATATTGGACTTAGACACATAAAAAGGCAATAGGTACCTAAGTTCCTTTATCAATCTGGCCCTTAAAGTCTAATTTTAGACACTTATTTCTAGAATGCAAATAGGAGGGAGTTAGGAGTACGATGAGTAGATGGAAGTATCTACATCTTTCCAGCAAATTTAAACAAACATTTCTGTATATTTTGCTAAAATTTACTACAGATTTCTTTTGCAACCCATCCATAAGTTATTCTAACATTAGACCAGTGATAAATTAAGATAGGAACTCAGCGCCTACAGATTCTGAGTTGTTTTCTTTTTTCTGTTTTAACCTAGTCATTATGAAGGAAGTTTCTTCACTCAAATAACCAAAAGCTATATGCTTTACTCCTTCTTGGCTGGAATATTGTTATGGGTGTACCAGGTACTGAGGGTTTAAGAATCATAAAATATTAGGGTTGGAGGAGACCTCAGGAGGTCATCTAGTCCAACCCCCTGCTCAAAGCAGGACCAACTAAATCATCCTTAAAAACCTCTAAGGATGGAGATTTCACCACCTCCCTAGGTAACCCATTCCAGTGCTTCACCACCCTCCTAGTGAAATAAGAAGAGAGAAGGAGGGGCAAAGTATTCAGCTGCTCCATGCATTATATAATTTTCAGGAAAATGAAACTGTAAGTCATATCACACTTCTGGTGAATACATTCCAGGAGAAAATCCTTCTCTCAGATTCATATTGCAGATCTAAGTCCCAATACTGCTCTTCTGTCTACCTGTATGGAAATCTCTACATATACAGAATTCCAGTTGACATAAATGGGAGATCCATGCATATAGGAGAAGAGAATATCAAAGTAGAGATAGATCTGAGAAGAGCTTGCCCTAAAATTTTCAGGTCTTATATCTATTAGCTTTTTGCCTTTGCATATTTATGCCCATAGAGCCACCTTTATTAATACTTGAGTGATCTGATGCCTTTTTGATGGTCAAGCGATTACCTCCCAAACAATATATATAGCCAGAGCCAACTAATCTTAATCTTCACAGATATGGTGGTGTAATCTCTTGTGTCTTTCAATTTGTTAGTTTTCAATATTAGTTTCAATTACAGTTTAAATAATAGAATTAAATACATAGAAATAAGAGATAGCAAAATATCTATAATAATAGAGTTTGTCCTTCTAAGAATGTTTCATTGTTGCCCCAATTTTATAAAGAACCCCCTGAATCTCGTTATTACATGAACCCCAAACATGTAACAAGAAAGCTAGGTGACATTGCAGAGATTAAAAAGTAACTCCAAGCTGTTATATTTATGCTTTGTTCATCCATTGCTCCCAGACTGAGCCTGACAAGATGCAAAAAGCTCTGCAAAACTCTTTTTTTCTATGTTGATTTAACCTCCTTGCTCTTTTGAGAGCTTACAAGAAGCAGCTCCCACAGACAGTAGCCTAGAAGCAACCAGTGGGAGGAATTACACAATGAAAAAATTTTGCCTGGCAATCCTGAGCAAGAAGCCTGTCAGCAGACTTCAGAAATGAGAAAGATCCCCAGGTTATCAAAGGTCTGCCTAACCTGGATGCCTCAGATGTGGACAGCCAGTGGAGGTTAGACTAGAGGAGTCATTGTCCCTGGGCCTTGAGCCTGACTGATGTACCAGGACAGCCAACTACAGGCCAAGACTAGTCTGTACATGGCTACGATCACCCAGAAGGTTGCTGAATCCCGGCGTGTAGTACTCAGGGGAAGGGAGCCAGAGATATAGCTCCTCAGTTAGGAAAGGAGTCTACTGTGTGGATAAGAGAAATCAGAGACTGGGGATCAAATGCAAACCTCACTTGGTCAGCCTCCTCTGCACAACAGTGAAGGCTTGAGGCCTGGGGCAGTGAAGGCTTGAGGCCTCCAGGAATTTACCCCACCCCAAAGGATGAGCTCTCTGTGACAGACACCGCAACTCCCTACCCAGCTCCAGCCCACTAGCACTCTGAGGACTACAGAGAGACATGGTAGTTGCACCTGCAAGCCTCCCTAATCCTCCAACTCCGCTTTATTTTTTTGTGTTTATTTTGTTGGTTTTTGATTATTTCAGTGAAGGGAGTCTTTAACTATTGGTGTGGGGTTATGGATTCCTTTGTTTATTTATAATCCCTGTTTTCCCTTGCCTTTCCCTTTTATCCTGGCTCCTACCTATACCA